AGTCAGTTTTATTTGGTGTGGACTCTTTAGGCGTATTTTGTGTTTCTTGACCTAATAATGTGTTCCCTAAGAGATCAGTTCACCTCACACAAAAGTACAAAATGCGTTTCTCACCGGAAAGCTTCTTAGTTTTCAGTTTTCAAAGGAAGCTCTAACATGGTAAGCAGCTAATCGTGTATTGCTTGTCCTCTCAGTTGGGAATATTAACTTGCTGTCATATTCAAAAAGTAACAAAGGGAAGGTTGAATTCGAACTCAAAGCTTGTTTGTTCCGTGATTTGCCTGCCTGTTACAATGGAAATGAGGAAGAATGCCATCGATTAATACGTACAAACTACATTTTAAAGGCCGCGAATTTTTTCTCGCTATTGGTCTGTTGTTTTGTTGTTGTTGTTTTTTTTTGCTCTCTGTTTTTTATTCTTCTTCTTCTTCTTCTTCTTCTTCTTCTTCTTCTTCTTCTTATTATTATTAATTTTCATCTTTAAACATATCAGAGATAACATATGGCTTTACCAGTGCAAAGTTTACGTGCATACGGCAATTTCGTTTTCGTACTTTTTTTTCTGTTTCCGCTTGTGACGTCAGATGCTTTGAAACTGAAATAATTTTGCGGAACCATAATTTATGCGAACAACACGTTATATTAGCAATGTCACATAAACGCCCCTCTGCTAATAAAATATTACCATATACATCTTGTTTATTTGGGATATCAGGAAAACGTCCCTGTTAATTTTGTGGCGAATTGATTAAAGTGCGGAGCTCCCGTATCCAAACCCCTGCTAGTAGTAATCTGCCAGGAGCACATCAATGACCTTTTTAGCCAGTTAAGCTGTTGCTACACGTCCCTCCCGACTTGTTATTCGATTTTCCATAGTGCATAGAAACAAATGCTTTACGCATACCTAGCCTACTGTCCCACAAAAAAAAGTTTTGGCATTTTTTGAACAAGCGGCAGTCCTTACCGATCAAACTCAAATTCGCATACAGCTTATTTCACGTTTGATAAAAAAATGTAGCTCGAGTGGCGCATCAAACTATAAAATTTACACCCGATACCCTCCTGGAGCGGAAAGCGGGGCGAAGAAGGGGGAAGGAGGAAGGAGGGGAGAAAGGGGGGTTAGCGCTGAGAACAACGAGGAATAAAATCTGAACAGTCAGTTTTATTTGGTGTGGCTTCTTTAGGTGTATTTTGTGTTTCTTGAGCTAATAATGTATTCCCTGAGAGATCAGTTCCGCTCGCAGAAATGTACAAAATGCGTTTCTCACCGGAAAGCTTCTTAGTTTTCAGTTTTCAACGGAAGCTCTGATATGGTAAGCAGCTAATCTTGTATTGTTTGTCCTCTCAGTTGAGAATGATAACTCGATGTCATAAAATAACATAGGGAAGGTTGAATTCGAACTCGAAGCTTATTTGTCCCGTGATTTGCCTGCCTGTTACAATGGAAATAAAGAAGAATGCCATCGATCAATAAGTGCAAACTACATTATACAGGCGACCAAATTTTTTTCTCGCTTTTGATTTGCTTTGTTTTTGTGGG